GAGGGCGCGGGGGGGGGGGGGGGGGGGGGGGGGAGAAAAAAAAGCCATAGAAATCATCTTATCTCTATTAGTATGTTCAAATTTGTGTAGTAACCTATAACTCTAGCCAGTGTTACATTGAGGCATAATGAATGGACAGGCTAATGCACCTCGAGAACTTTCACAAAAACAATCACTAAAATTACCCTGAAGGCATAAATACTTGTGCATGTTTGTACTGGCACTTTGCAGAATTGCAGTGGGTTCTCATAGATACATATATAATTTTGCATAGTAAAAAGATTTATAAGCCTGATTATGATTTTTTCTTTCTGTGACATTCAATGCATTGTTTTTCTCAAATACTAATATATAAATGTAGTACGTGCAATGAAATGTTGATCTAAGGTCCTCTACACAATAGTTGAGGCCCTGAGGGAACTATATGGGAACGAGGACAGTTCTTTTTGCAAAAATTGGCACGTTCTTAACTATTTAACAACAACTATCATTATAGATGCAAAAGACAACAAATACGAAAAAGACACACATAATCGGGCAGGTGGATGAAAAACATACGCAAATAAATTATCAAAGTTGACTTCTTGAAGATGATTGGCCCCCCCATTAGTGGTTGGAAACAAGCAAAAGAAAGAGCAAACCAGAAGAGCAGCAATCAATTCCTGAAATAAATAAAAGCACTCACAATCAGAATTCATAATATCAGAATGCAATGCATATTCAATTGAGATGAATATACTGCTAAACTTTTAACAGGGAAAAAGGAATGCTTCAATGCATGAAGCGAAAAATGGCAAGTGATTATTTATTGCACAATGTTTGTTTCATTCCACTCTTCTTTATTTTTTCCAAGTGATAACAGTAAACAACTGGATTAAGTTATTCGTGGATAAGTTAAAGTTACAACCAATTGAAATTCCTTTAACGAGAGTAATTCACATTGGAAATGGAAAACAACAAAATAAAACAATATGCAGCAATCATCTAAAGCAAGGTTTGCTCAAGCTGAGTAGAGATGAATGGCTTCTCATTTACCATTTTTTTTTTCTTAATCATAAGATCATGTTTCACTGATGCTTAGTCATTCTCTGAACGGTGGTAACTTGGAAACCCACTGTAGCTGGTATAATTTTATTGCAATAAGGATTGATCTGAAAGCCCAATTATCAAATACACAGAGCTACCAATTGGCCCATACCCATGACCCTTGTTTAAGGCCCAGAACCATTAAATTGGTATATATATGCCATCCTTTTGAACCCACTAGGACCACCTTGTGCTTTCACTCAATCAACTAACAAAACAAGAGCCAAATGAAGACTGAAAGGGCACAGCTGACAGCTAAGTGAAAACTGAGGGAGGGCTTTCTCCGGGACACAGCTCAGCACCTTTACTGAGACTTCTTTACGGTTTCAGACCCTGGGTGCAGGCACCAAAGCAGAGGAGAATCAAACCTTAAGCAGGGGAAGACTTGTCCAATCACGGTTAACATGAAAATTACTTGAGTGCCTACCCATAGTGTACCACTCCCAGTCCCCACCCATTTGCTAGTATAGATCCACAAAGGATTATAAATCACATTGCCCTTTTAGTATGTTTGATGGAACATTATGGGACAATCATATTGTAATCACAAAAGTAAAACCCAAGTTTAAACATTATTTTGATTCATCCATTCTTTCCCTAGTTGATCGGGCATTATGAATATCTTCAAGATATCTTCAGTTATTTTTTGTTCTTTGTTAAAATTCAGAAAAAATGAACTGATAGCATAAATCTTTCAGATTTTCTAAGTTTACAAATTGCAATCATAAAAATTCACCAATAAAATGACACTGCCAGCCAAAAAAAAAAAAGAGAGAAAAGAAAAGAAAAGAAAAGGTACACGTTCACAACACCATGAAGAAATACAACTGAAATTTAAAGAAACCAAGAAGAAACAATGAAGAACACAGTCAAAGCTACTGCAAAGAAGACTCTGAGCAATTCATAGAGTTAGTACATCTGATTTTACAAGATAAATGTAAAATGGTTTCAAAATTAGTAAAAGATTAGCACAAACTTAAGAATTTAAAATTGTAAAGAAAAATTCCAATGCAATGTCAGATCGTAAATAAACATGCACTAGTGTATGCCAAAGATAACTGCAAAGACCATTTTAAGCAATAAACAGAGAAAGTGCATCTGATGTGACAATGCAAAGGTAAATTGGTTTTAGGTTCTTAAAAGTTAGGAGAAATCTAACGACTTTGAAATCTAGAATGGCCATCTTAAAAATGAAAGAAATTTCAATGCAATTTCGTACCATTAATTTGACCAAGCAATTGCGTCATCCAAATTTGAATTCAGCAATAAAGTGGAAAGTGGTATAATTCTGTCACCTAGAGAAGGTAACAAATCATTTTCAAAAGACAAATAGTATTTCTCCAAACGACTTTGAAATCCAGAACAGTCATCTTAAAAATGGATAGAAATTTCAATACAATTTCATATCATTAATTTAACCAAGCAATTGTGTCATCCAAATTTGAATTCAGAAATAAAGTGGGAAGTGGTATAATTTTGTCACCTACAAGGTAACAACTAATTTTCAAAAGACAAATAGAATATTCAACTTTAAATCAGCAGAGGATAAACCAAAGTGGGGTTGACATTCAGTCTTTGATAACATCATACACTGATATAATCATTATTAATTCAAAGTTCCAATAGTTTAAGGAAAACAAGTAACGAGTAAAAGTGGGAAACATGAATACTGCATAACTCAACTTAAAAGGTCAGGTGATACTAAGCTCCCGTTTGGCCTTCATTAAATTTCACTTCATTTTTCTCTCTCGTATTTTCAACCACGCAATCTTCCATAAACTAATATTACACGTAAATTGAAAATTTTTCCTTCTTTTTGAACCACTTATTTAAAAAAAAAAAAACACTAATCCACCCATTTTCATTTCCAAAAATAGGGGCCAAATTGGTGCTAAAGTAAATGCATTAGCATGAGAAATAATCTACATGAGTAGTTACTTAAAAACTGTTGTACAAGTTTACCTGACTGAGAAACACAATACCCTGCTGTTGTGATTCCAGTAACCGAAGACCAGTTTCCATTCCATGGAAACTAACTGCGTTTTGATAGTGTGTCTTCAACAAACCTGGTAATCTCAACAGCAAATCTGCCAGTTGTGGGACCACCTCTCCAAACCACTTCTCAGACTCATCCCTACTCATCAACTAAAGTCAAACGAACCAAATCAGTTAGTATAAATCATTCTTATTATCCTTCAATCAACAAAATATATTCAACGAGACTCGAGATAGAATGAGGCAATTACTTTTACTACTTCACTCAAACCCATTAGAACACAACGAGACGTCAAGAACAAAGGTAAGGCTTATTTAAAAAAAAAAACTTAGGGGTCAGTTACATGCATTCCTTTTGCCATTCCATTAGGTCTAGAGCTATCTTTTTGCAACAACTTCAAGTCAGGCCAAGTTGGGTATACTACTCTCTCCCATCAGAAGTGTATCAATCTTGCAAATAGAAGATGTTTTAGGTGTAATCAAGTCATGACCCAACAACCTACTTGTTGGCCCACATTTCTATTAATTATATTATCCTTCTAGTATGGCCTTAATTGTAAAATATATTCAATGAGACTCGATGCCCCTCAATGTGAGAGGTTCTTTCATCATATACCAAAATCATAACTAAATAAGTAGAAGCAATCTATCTATATATTATACAATTATAATGGTATTATAAATGTTGACAGTAATTTTCATCGAACTCCGTAATTTTATTCAATCTCATTAACATCCCCTCAAACTAATGCTAGTAAAAGTATCAATTTGCAATTATGAACTGACGATGGTGATAATACTCGTGCCCATGAAGAAGGAATCCAAATCACAACAACCATCTACAAAAATTAGTGACGATAAGAGACCAAGAGCAACAAATAGTGCAGAAACAACCAAGAACTACTCCAAAACCACTCCAAGAACATTCCAAAGACATTCTACAGATTTCACACCCCAAGAAGAATTTTCAAAAGAAATTCGCAATGTGCTGACCACACACAGTGAGCTCTATCAATCAGAAGAACTCAGTTGAACACATAATTCATGTTCCAACAATATATCGCTGGCCAAGATGTTGTAGTTGGAAGAAATCCCACAAAACAGCCTTCACCAAGAAACCCAAAAATGATCCTCATCTGAGAATTCAAAACTCTAACTCATCATCCAAACAACCAAAACTCAACGGTCTACACTGTTATGTCTCTCTCTCCAACCAAATATAAAACTCTCTTTTTTTTTCTTTTTTTTTTAAAAAAGAGTCCATTACTGTGCCGTTGTTCTTCAATCACCAAACCATTACCAGGTTAACCATCCCATATACAAAAACCCATCAAACAAGTCTATTAAGTGCCCAATTTAATCATCCAACACCTTATTAACCACATTCACTGCCCAATAACCAAATAGCTCCGAATAACTAGCCCAATGACTATCAAAACAGATCCACGTTAACTCCTGCTTTAAGTCTACCACCATCATCTCAACAAGAAATCTCCCCAACCTCTATTTTAATTTCCCATGATTTCCATTATCACCCAATGTTAAAGAACTCTCCTCAGAGAGGGAAAGTTTAGGGCAATATATAACCTCCGCTCCACAATATGTACATTATCCCTCCTGTCAAATTCCATCCCCAAAACACAGCCCGTACAAAAACACATCTCCTTCCAGATTGTTTCCCTTCGTGCTGTTGGGTCCGTGGTACTTTCCACTTCCAAGTGGACTCTTAAAGATTGCCAC